GATCTATAATTTAAAATATTTGTATAATTTAATATTCCGCTTGTATACATATACGTCATAGTACGCAAAATAGTTTCGGCTGCGAATTATCAATAATATGGTATTCGGCCTTAGCGGCATAAACATTAGCGCGCTATTATTTATATTTATGTTATGACTTACGACTTTATCATTTGCACAGCGACACTCGAACAGTCATATAGTAGTGCGAGACGCTCCGTCAAATTCCTTTTCTAAACGCGATCGCGACAAGTATCGGAAAATAATTTGATATAATAAATCATTAATTATCTTTTATATACATTAAATAATACTTTTATATACATACAAAACAATACTTTTATATACATTAAATAACTATATCGCGATGATAGATCTTGAAGCGCGTATTTCGTGTGACGTGTTCATTTTATCAACTAATTATAAGAATCGAAGTCACAGGAATCAAAATTATAAATTATTATTTTATAGCGATTTTTATAAGCAATAATTAATTTTCTATCAATATTTAAAGTTAAAAATATTTTGTCCGATGCTTTATCGTTCGACTTTTCGACGATCAAAATATGATTCGTATTGAGAATACGCAGTAAAACAATCGAATCGTAGAATCGAGTAGTTAGCATAATGAAAGACTCCGTGATACATCACTTGTTTAATAAATAATTTGTTTATAATTTAAAATACTTGTACAATTTAATATTTCGCATATAATTATATATGTTATAGAACGTAAAATATTTCGGCAACGAATTATGAATGGAATTGGGAATTGGAATTCGGCCTTTGCGTATAACGCGCTATTGTTTACGTTTTTTGTTTATTGATTACTATTGTTATTATTCGCATGGCGACATTGGAATAGTATTATAATAGTGGGAGACGCTCCGTCAAATATTCCTTTCTTACTTGTTATCTTTCGCATGGCGACACTTGAGCAATAAAGTAGTGACAGGAAACGCTTCTTATATTATTGAATTCTATTTCTAAATGCGATCGTGATTACTATCGGAACATAATTTGCTATGATAATTACAATTAACTAATTAATTAATTTTTGATAAATGACACAAAACTGTATTGCGACGATAAATCTTATCATAACGCGATCATTTATTTACAAGTAAAAATCGAAGCAATAGAAACGAAATATCAACAACCATATGTTCGGCCTTATTGATTTTTAGCTCGCTATTGTTTACATGTTACGGTCTTTTCATCATTCGTACAACGATACTCGAACAGTAAAATAATAGTGCGAAATGCTTCGTATTTTGTCAAATTCTTTTTCTAAACGCGATCGCGACTATTATCGACACATAATTGCTATTATTTTAATAATTAGTACAATTAACAATTAATTAGCTTTTGATAAACGATATAAACAGTATCGGGACAATAATAAAGTGCGTTGTATATACGATTAATCATAATTAATCATATTTTCGCGAGTAAGTGTGAATGCTATAAGAAAACAGA